AAGACGGGGGCGGGGCCCCCGCAGCCCCTCCCGTCCCTCGCCCCCCGATTCAGTGGCTGCTTTTCTCCACAGCGACATCGAGATCTTCGCCTTGTTCATCTCCTGCATGTGTCACGACCTGGACCACAGAGGCACCAATAACTCCTTCCAGGTGGCCTCGGTAAGGCTGGGAGGCTCCAGGAGAACCACTGGGAAAGGCAGGAGGTTCCAGGAGATCCGACAGGAAGGCTGGGGTTACAGGAGATCCCTCTGTGAGACCAGGGGGTGACAATCTGTGCTAGTCAGGGGATTACAGAAGATGTACTGATGAGGCCAGCAATTACAGGGGATTTGCTGGTGAGGCCAGGGGATCTTTCAGCAAATGTGGGGGGATTACAGGAGATCTGCCAGCGAGACCAGGAGATTCATCAAGGAGGCTGGGGGAGTACAGGAGATCAGAGATGAAGGGGAATTACTGGACAGGTCAGGGTGTTACAGGAGATCAGAGGGCGAGGCTGGAGGGGTTACAGGAGAGGCAGGGTGTTACAGGAAATCTGACTGTGAGGCAGGGTGTTGCAAGAGAGGCCGGGGATCCATCAGGGATTACAAGACATCCGTTGGTGAGGCCAGGGATCACAGGAGATCCGAGATGAAGGGGAATTACTGGAGATCAGAGGGCGAGGCCGGGGTGTTACCGGAGAGCTGATGATTGGCTGGAGGAGTTACAGGAAATGAGAGAGTGAGGCCGGGGGATCACAGGAGATCAGGGGGCGAGGGGGGATCACAGAGATCAGGGGGCGAGGGGGGATCACAGAGATCAGGGGGCGAGGGGGGATCACAGAGATCAGGGGGCGAGGGGGGATCACAGAGATCAGGGGGCGAGGGGGGATCACAGAGATCAGGGGGCGAGGGGGGATCACAGAGATCAGGGGGCGAGGGGGATCACAGAGATGGGGGGGAAGGGGGATCACAGAGATCAGAAGGTGAAGGGGGATCACAGAGATCAGGGGGCGAGGGGGATCACAGAGATGGGGGGGAAGGGGGATCACAGAGATCAGAAGGTGAAGGGGGATCACAGAGATCAGGGGGCGAGGGGGATCACAGAGATCGGAAGGCGAAGGGGGATCACAGAGACCGGAGGGCGAGGGGGGATCACAGAGATCAGGGGGCGAGGGGGGATCACAGAGATCAGGGGGCGAGGGGGGATCACAGAGATCAGGGGGCGAGGGGGGATCACAGAGATCAGGGGGCGAGGGGGGATCACAGAGATCAGGGGGCGAGGGGGGATCACAGAGATCAGGGGGCGAGGGGGGATCACAGAGATCAGGGGGCGAGGGGGGATCACAGAGATCAGGGGGCGAGGGGGATCACAGAGATGGGGGGGAAGGGGGATCACAGAGATCAGAAGGTGAAGGGGGATCACAGAGATCAGGGGGCGAGGGGGATCACAGAGATCGGAAGGCGAAGGGGGATCACAGAGACCGGAGGGCGAGGGGGGATCACAGAGATCAGGGGGCGAGGGGGGATCACAGAGATCAGAAGGCGAAGGGGGATGACAGAGACCGGAGGGAGAGGGGGGATCACAGAGATCAGGGGGCGAGGGGGGATCACAGAGATCAGAAGGCGAAGGGGGATGACAGAGACCGGAGGGAGAGGGGGGATCACAGAGATCAGGGGGCGAGGGGGGATCACAGAGATCAGAAGGCGAAGGGGGATGACAGAGACCGGAGGGAGAGGGGGGATCACAGAGATCAGGGGGCGAGGGGGGATCACAGAGATCAGAAGGCGAAGGGGGATGACAGAGACCGGAGGGAGAGGGGGGATCACAGAGATCAGGGGGCGAGGGGGGATCACAGAGATCAGAAGGCGAAGGGGGATGACAGAGACCGGAGGGAGAGGGGGGATCACAGAGATCAGGGGGCGAGGGGGGATCACAGAGATCAGAAGGCGAAGGGGGATGACAGAGACCGGAGGGAGAGGGGGGATCACAGAGATCAGGGGGCGAGGGGGGATCACAGAGATCAGAAGGCGAGGGGGGATCACAGAAACCGGAGGGCGAGGGGGATCACAGGCAATCAGAGAGTGAGGCCGGGGATCATGGGAGATGCGCCGGGCGCCAGAGCCTTGGCTCCCTGCTGGGGCTGGAGATGAAGCCGACCTCGCTGTGGGGTACAAAGCCCCGGGACCTGGCTCTGGACACGAGCAAAGGAAAAGGCAGCGACGAGAGGTGACGCGACCCTCGCAGCCCCTCCGAGCAGGGCAGAGCCTGACTTGGGGCACGCTGCCACCGCCGTGGGCCATGTTCAAATGGCTTCGTCCGTCCCTAGGCCCCGCCAGCTGCCCCAGACCTTTATCCAAACGCCAACCTGCCCCAGCTCGGGCCTGAGCGTGGGGGCGTTTTCGCCTGCTTGTGTTTCCTTCTCCCTCCCCTGCGAGCTTCCAGCGCCCGTGTGGCAGGGGGCTGGGAACGCTGCAGCCTTCGGGCCCAGGCTGAGGTCACTTGGGCGGGTTCGAGGAGGCGCTCCTACATCGCAGGGGGCGACTGCTCGGGGGGGGGGAGCCCCCGCAGCCCCCGCGACGCAAGAGCCAGCACCTCTGCCGGACACTCGTGTTCTCTGGGAAGGGCCCTGCTGCAGAGAGGCCTGGACACAGCAAAGTTGGGGCTGAGAGCAGAGAGACAGCTCC